ATATTGTCGTCAGATTCTTGGTCCTTGAGGAGTTGACCGCCTATATTATCATTCTTGGCAGGCCAACCCTCAACGTAGCCAAGGCAGTAATCATCCCGTCCCTCATGCTCATCAAGTATGAGAGGGATGACGACTTTGTTGGTTCCTTGAATGGGGATCAGAAGACAGCCCGAGAGTGCTATCTCTCAGCCGTCCGAGATACCGGGGCCCCAGGCGGTCAGGAACCAATAGACCTTGACAACGTCAAGGATGCCGACCCAGCTCCTGCCCCATCAGCAGCCGGAAAGAAAAGAAAGGCTCCTCTGCTGGTGGATGTGAAAAAAGAGAAAAAATAGCAATCACTGACCGGTGAACGGTCAGATGAGCTCTGTCCCCAACCGGTGAACGGTCAGATGAGCTCTGTCCCCAACCGGCTGGCGAAAGCATTGAGCTCGTTCTGGATGACAGCCGTCCCGAACGTAATGTTAAGGTTGGGACGGTAACTCATGCTACTTTGGGTGCAAGCTTGCACCTTCTACTGAAGGAATTCAAAGACATTTTTGCGTTTGAAGTGGAGGAGATGCCAAGCGTCAGCCCGGATCTTGATGTCCACAAACTCGCCGTGGACCCCAAAAAGAAACCCATCCGGCAAAAGAAAAGAAACCACGGCGAGGAAAGAAGTCAGGCGGCAGCTGCCGAAGTCAAAAAGCTGCTAGACGCCAGGTTCATTCGGCCTTGTAATTTTCCCGAATGGGTGGCCAATGTGGTCCTTGTTAAGAAACTGAATGGGACCTGGCGCATGTGTGTTGATTACACAGACCTCAACAAGGCGTGTCCAAAGGACAGTTACCCACTTCCAAAGATCGACAGTCTGGTCGATTCTACAACCGGCCACGCCTTGATGAGTTTTATGGATGCCTACTCCGGCATCCATCAGATACTCCTGTGGAAAAAGGATCAAGAGAAGACGGCCTTCGTCACTGATCAGGGGTTATTTTGTTATACGGTGATGCCGTTTAGCTTGAAAAATGCGCCTGCCACTTTCCAACGGATGATTAATACGGTCTTCATCAATCAGATTGGGAGGAATGTGGAGGCGTACATTGATGACATGATAGTCAAATCCAAGCTACAGACAGATCACCTGGCTGATCTCCGAGAAACATTTACCACCCTCAGGCGGCATAAGGTTATGTTAAATCCTAAGAAATGCGTCTTTGGTGTTGAGTCTGGAAAGTTTCTCGGATTCCTGATTGATCAAAGGGGGATAGAGGCTAACCCCAAAAAGATACATACGGTGATTGACATGAAGTCACCCCGCTCTGTCAAGGAAGTTCAGAGACTCACCGGTTGTCTGGCCGCCCTGGGGAGGTTCCTCAGCTGGTCAGGTGACAAATGCCTCTACTTCTTCCAAGCAATAAGGAAGAAGACCAGATTTGAATGGGGGGATGATGCTGAGGCGGCGTTCCAGAGGTTGAAAGAGCATTTACATTCTCTGCCTAGGTTGGTCAGTCCTTTGCCTAGGGAGATGTTGTACATGTATTTAGCCATCTTAGTCCATGCCCTCAGTGCCGTTATCCTTGCTGAGCGAGACGGCGTGCAGCTCCCGGTTTACTTCATTAGCCATGTTCTTAAAAATGCTGAACTCCGGTACCCTATGGTTGAAAAATTTGGCCTTGCTTTGTATATGGCATTCAAAAAATTGAAGCCTTACTTTTTGGCACATCCGGTGGTGATTTACACGGACCAGCCACTCAAGCGGCCAATGTCTACCTTGGACTCATCCGGGAGAATGTTGAAATGGGCTATTGAAATGTAGAGCCTTGAAATCACTTACGAACCAAGAAAGGTAGTGAAAGGTCAGGCGTTTGCCGACTTCATTGTTTAAATAACTCACCTGGTGGCTCTGGATAATCTTGATCAGGTTTGGAAAGTGTACGTAGACGGGAGCTCTACAAAGAACGACTGTGGTGCAGGCGTAATTTATGAGTCTCCTGAAGGAGACAGATTTGAATATGCACTACGCTTCAAGTTTCAGGCCTCTAACAATGAGGCGGAATATGAAGCCCTGCTAGCCGGCATACGCATGTGTAAGGCGGCAGGGGCCATGAAAATTGACGCCTACTCTGATTCTCAATTGGTTGTTAGCCAGTATGAGGGAAGTTGTGAGGCTACCCATCCGGCTATGATTAAATATCTTCAGGCAGTCAAAGAAGAGACCAAGGCACTTGAGGAATTCCGGCTGAATCAGGTGCCTAGGTCGGAAAACAACCAAGCGGATGCATTGTCAAAGCTGGAATCTTTCGCCTGCCATGATACGCCTCAGTCATTTTTCTGGGAAGTTCTTGAAAAGAGAAGCATCTATGAGGATCCCGTTGGAATTCTGGACCGAAGCTCTACCTGGATGGATGGCATCCGGGCCTATCTCTCAGACGGCACACTTTATGATTCGCCACAGGAAGCAGCCGTCCTGAAAAAGCGAGCTGCAAGATTCGAGTTGAAAAATGGAGAACTCTTCAAGGCGGGGTTTCTGAAGCCTTTGTTGAAGTGTGTCACCCCAGAAAAGGGGAAAGAAGTTCTCGAAGACTTGCACTCGGGATTTTGCGCCTCTCACATAGGCGGCAGGTCCCTAGCCGTCAGAGCCAGACGACATTACTTTTGGCCCACTCTTGAGGCAGACGCCAAGGAGTTGGTGAAGAAATGTGACAAGTGCCAAAAATTTGGCAAACTCATTCACCGTCTGGCTACTGATCTGACGGCCATCCATAGCCAAATCCCGTTTGCAAAATGGGGCATGGACATTCTAGGTCCTTACACGCCTGCTCCAGGCGGGAAGCGCTACATCTTGGTGGCTGTGGATTACTTCACCAAGTGGGTGGAGGCTGAGGTGGTTAAAAACATCAAGACCTCAGACGTAATTTCCTTCATCTGGAAGAATGTTATCACCCAGTACGGGGTACCCATGTCTATGGTGTTTGATAATGGTCCTTAGTTTGAGACGCCTCATCTAAAAACTTGGTTGGGAGATCAGGGGATCTCAAGCTATTTCGCATCTGTTGGTCGGCCCCAAGCAAACGGCCAAGTTGAAGCTTTCAACAAACTCATCTCAGACGGCATTAAAAAGAAAATAGAAAGAGCCGGTGGCTTATGGGCAGAAGAATTAATCCATGTCCTGTGGGCCATCCGGACAACAGCGAAAGGGGCAACCGGTGAAACCCCATTTCTCACGGTTTACGGTGCTGAAGCCGTCTTGCCCATCGAACATTACGAGCCGACTCTCAGAGTCATGCTGTATGATGAAGAGGCAAACTGGGAAGCAATGCGTCTGGCATTGGATTAACTCCCAGAACGCAGGGGCAATGTCGCCTTGCGTCATGAGATTTACCGTCTGAGAATGACTAGATCCGACAACAAAAAAGTACACAAGCGTCCTTTGAAAGTTGAAGACTTAGTGTTACGAAAAATGGAGACAACCGGTAGGGCCAATGAGCTGGGAAAGCTAACCCCAAATTGGGAAGGCCCCTACCGGATCTATGAGGAAGTAAGGGACGGCACCTACCGCCTGGAAACTCCAGAAGGCAGGCGCCTGCCTAGAACTTGGAATGTAGACAATCCAAAAAAGTACTACTTCTGAGAATGTAACTTTTTGTAAACAGTGAGTCAGTTAATGAAGATTCAGTCTTTGTTTGCAAAATTGAGTTATCGTTTGATTATCCATCCGGGTAATATCCAGACGGATTCCCCATCTACCTAACTAAGTTCGATAGTGAAGGTTACATTTTTTTATCCGCCTGGGTAATGCTCGGATCCCTTGTTTATTTAAGTTTGATACTTTGTTTATTCAACTGCTTGACTATCCGCCTGGGTAATACTCAGACGGATTCTCCATTTATCTAACTAAGTTTGATACTTAGTATGATCAAATATTTTCCTGTCCGTCTGGGTAATACCCAGACAAACTCGTTTGCTTAAAAAACTAAGTTCGATACTTAGTGTAAATTCAATACTGACTAGAAACTAAGCACAAAAACGTTTAGTGGCTACGCAACCGGTCTCAAACAAGACCAGAGGCTAAAATGGCCGAATGATTGCTCATTTTATAAAATCGCCTGTCCCAACATGGACAAAGGTGTCCGGCGACTCCCCTCCGGGTGCAATCGTCGCAGAGAACAAACTATTTGTCGGTTCTACGTATCCATGCAGACGGCAAAGATTGAACGACCAAATTGGTCAACTAATAGCCGTCTGACCAAAATAACCTATGAAGAACGAATAAGTTCCCAGATCCCGGATGCCCATAGGCATCAGTCGGTCACCGGCTGAAGTTCTCACTTAGGTTATTTATTCCAAAAATTGCACCTCACCCCAATTGGGGCAAGAGTTCAATGGCTATGAAATCTCTACCAAGACGGACATACGCTGTCTGTGTAGTGACCGAAACGCCTGTTGGTGTACGGCTGTGCACTTGGTTTGGGGTAATCACTACTGTGATTGATTGACTTACAAACATATCATGCTCTTTGCAGCATCAGACGTTTTCAAGTCAATCAACCAACTCCAATTGAAACCAATCACACAGCTGTCCAGGGGCAAGGACAGCCGGACTACTGACTAGTTAGGCAAGAAATCGCCGCATGCTTTTAATAAGTTAGGCAAAAATTAAAATTTGCAAAAAACTAAAATTCAAATGCAAAATGATCAAAACCGACTTAGTCGGTGCAATTCATAAAAGTCCATCCAACCAAACGGTTGTAATGGATCAAATGTTAACCGGACCCCGTCCGGGAGAAAGAAATTGTTAATTAACCCGGCTCCATAGCCGGTAAAAACATAAATACTCGGCACGCAGGCCGGAAAAAGCAAGTTTTGGCATACAGCCGTTGAATGAAAAGAAAATTAAAAAAGCAGACTGGCATACTGCCGCTGAGGGGTCACTTCTGGCCTGCAGACGGAGCCTCCTGGTTCTCCCCCTTCTCCTCATCATCTGAGGGAATTTGGTGCGCTTCACCGAGACCAGGAAGCTAAGGCGCGGTCGGCTCATTGTTGCTGAGCCAGGCTTTAAAGGAGGCAGGCTCTGGCTCGCCTTGCTCTCTCAAGTACACCACGTTCTCGGCATAGCTGTGTGCCATTGCCCAGATGCTATAATCAGCGTCTGGGTACAAGGCATCCCAAGCAATCTTCATACGGGCGTCGTTGTCAGCATCACTCTCAGCAACAAGGCGGTTTTGCTCCGCCTCCAGGGTTGCTGCAAAGTTTTTCTGAGCTTGAGCAGCATCCTTCTCCAGCCTCTCAACCTTGGTTTTCAGTTTGCCAAGGTCCGCCTGGGCCTTCTTGAGTGCCTCATCAGCCTGTTTGGCGCTCTCGTCTGCCTTCTTCTGGGCCTCCTCCGCCCCCTTCTTGGCCGTCTCAGCATCCGTTGCCTGCTGGTCGGCTGCCTTCAGATCTAGCTCCAGCTGCTGGATTTTAGACGCCTGTGTCATAATTATTGCTTTAGTTTCAAGTTCATTTTACGATAGTCGAGTGGAAAGCAATATTATCAGCGTCTATGGCGTACTTCTTGGCCCTTTTTACCTCTTTCCGTTTGCAGGAATAAGGACGTTTGAGCCCGTCCACCCGCAGCATGGCCTGCAAAAAAGTAGGCGGTATAAGAATTACAGGCGGGATAATTACTTGGAAAAAATAAAATTGAATTGACAAGTTTCTTACCTCAGCTAGAAGGGATAGAATGCGTTCAAGATTGAACGTCTCTATCCTAGGGATATTGTCCTTATCCCTCTTCCGGACGGCTTCCAGCATGGCCTTGGCGTGCTTCTGGACGTCTGGCCAGCGGGGAGATTGATCTGCACTACAATCAATACGTGATGAATGCGAAACTAAGGCAGCACCTATTTGTTGCCGACCGTCTGAGGATGATGTCTGTTGGGAGTGGGATTTCACCCGTAAAGGCCACCCCAGCTCAAGCGGGGATTCAAAAGGGTTCTTACCTTCAGAGCCGGCCAAGCGGGAACCGCTTTCAGGCGTGCTGAACCCCGCGGCTGCTGACAAAGGATTGGCAAGATCAAGGCACATGCTGCCGCCTACCTTCTCGAGTAGCCCCGATACCCGTATCGTCTTAGCCCCGGCTGCGGCGCCAGGAGTTGACGCAGAGGCGGACTTTTTTATTTTGTTGAGAACGGTTGGGGCCTCCTCTCTAGCCCGTTTGAGATTCTTCTCAAACGATTTCCCAACTTCTCCCCCTGCGAAAATAACCAAGTCAAAGTTAGTATCCGGGAAAGATAGTTTTTAAAATAAACTTAAAGGGTCAGGTGCTCAATACCTTGGCCCTGAGCTTGGCCGCAGCTTTCTCCGCAAGATCTTTGCGGATGGTCGCAAAAGACCGCTTGGGAGTTTTCTCCGACTGCAACATGTTTAGTGCTTCTTCTGCAAAAAGAGGGAAATTGGTCAATATCATAAACCAATTTCGATAGAAAAATACTACAGACGGTATAAACTCAGGCGCATACGTTTGGTAAACATGTGCCCTAGCCTGCAGGCGGCCAGGAAACATTCATCCCTGAACCAAGCGCTCTTGGGAATCCAATTCTTAGGGACTTTTATTGTTTCCCCGGTTGACAGAGTTGCGTCTGTGAGGCCGAAAAGGTCTGCCTCGATTATTTTGTCAAAGTCTTGCTCTGGGATCTGGGGAAGAGCGCACTTCCAGCCCAACAAGTCAGGCTTCTTATTGTACAGACGGAATTCATAATTTTCCCGTCTGGTTGGGGCTGACATCAGGTAGAACCTGTGCTTCCAGCCATCGAACTTTGAGACCTTGTCCAAGGTCATCATGTATTGCGGCTGTGTGGTTAGGGTATACCACGCCCTCCAGCCGCCCGGGCTTCTGCTGAGGTAATGCATGCTTGCAAAAGCCTCCCAGCCGGGGTTAAGCCCTTGGAACTCGCAGGCGGCAACATACCCCAGAATGTTGGTCTAGGAGTTGGGGGTAAGTTGCCAGACCCCAAGGCCGTAGCCTCTCAAAATTGCCTTCACCGCCTGGTGAAGGGGGAAGCGAAGGCCGGCTTTGAACGCCGCCTCATAACAGCCAAAATAGCTGTTGGCGTTCTCTTGATCATCCCCCCGGACGATGGTGCCCAGCTCAGGCGGCACCCGGATCTTATACCCGTCTCCTAGCGGGTGCATTTTCTTAAAATTCTCTAAGTTCTCCCCCATCTGGATTCGGTCCTTGGAGGAGACGTGGATGCTTAAGAGATCGTCCTTCTCACTCCACTTTTTCCTTTCTTCCTCCTCGTTATCCGGAAGAGGGGGCAAGTCATCGCTGCTCTCGGAGGTAGAGGCGGAGCTGTCACTCTCCGTCTCCCCCTCACTTTGGTCCATGGGGGCAGAGGCGGCCTCGTCGCCGCCTTGGTCACACTCTTCCAAAAAAGAGTCTGCAGGGGTTGAAGGGGCGCGCAGAGGGGATCTCTCTAGAGCTGTCTGGTTTCCCTGACCAGACGTTTCTCCCTCAGGCGTTTGGCCGCCTGAGCCTTCGCTCTTGTAATTCGGGTCCGTGGCCGTCTGCATTGTCCGAGCCATGGTGTCCTGCACAGACACATAACTGGTCGGAATCTATGGCAAAGGGTGGTCCCAACACCCCGAGCCGGCACTCCCAGTCCTAGACTCAGCCGACCCTGGTGACCGGCTGGACTCTAACCTAGGCTGTGCCGTGTGTGTTGGTGATGCATCCATTTTGTTGCAAGAAATATGTACAAGCGGTGAAAAAAGAAAAGAGCTGAGAGAGACAGAGACGGTACCTTTTGATTTGGTATCTGAACATAGGCGGGACCGGCTGTATTGCTGAAGAACAAACTTTCTTGCTCACGTCTGCCTCAAACAAGTGAGTTCTGCTCTCTCAAAGTTTTTCTCTCTAGGAAATTTTTGTAAACGTACAAAATTATGAGGGTAAAACGGCTATATATAGAGGGTAAATTTGGGGGAATTTCCGTAATTTACCCGGAAGGTGAACGGTTACTTTGTAACGGTAAAATTACCGCTAACCGGAGCGTGACATGTGTCACAGATGCCACGTGGCGTGCCACGTCACATATGTGAGGGGCAAATGTTTAGGGTAATTTTACCCTGCCATGTGGCCCAATCAGAAGGTGACACGTGTCAGCTCCAGATTGGTCTAAAATGGACCAATCCCTGCTCGACACGTGTCATTCCCGAAATCACTGGAAAAGGCGGCCTTCAGGCCCAAATCCCGAGAATGCCGCCAAACGGCGCAGCCCACCAATGATTAGGGTTCAGTAACCTAATCAGGGGCATAATTCCCAAAGACCCTATAAATAGGGAGATGTCCCTCATTTTAGAGGCACGTTTTATTATTTATTACACATTTACTCTTTGATAGAGACATCATAAGCTTGGAATCCGAGCAGATCCCTACCTAAATTTCCGCACCTTTTTCTCCCTTCAAGTTTCTAACTTGTGCGTCGGAGGCGGAGCACCACCCAACTGGTGTCTCCATTTGTTTTGCAGGTATAGCTCACCCCGGATCAGTCTTCGTGTTGTAACTCTCCCGAGGGACAAAAACACCCAAAACAGGAAGGGGTGCTGAAAAGGGGGTCGAGAAGGGGAAGGAGTGTCGAAAAGGGTGTCAAGAAGAGGAGGGGTGCCGAAAACTAGGAAAGGAGACGGGGAAAGGGTGGTTTTAGGTGGATGGTCTTGGTTAGGGTGGTGGATGCCAATGAAAGGGGTGTCTAAAAGGGGTCGGGAAGGGGAGGTAGTGTCGAAAAGGGGGTTAGGAAGAGGAGGGGTGCCGGAAATTGGGAAAAAGGGGTTGGGGAAAGGGTGGTTTCAGGTGGATGGTTTTAGTTGGGGCGGTGGATGCCGGTGAAAGGGGGTACGCAGGGAGCTGGGAATGGGGGATTTTTTTTTAAAAATTTTAGGATTTTAAAGTTATTTTTTAAATCAAAAATAAAAAAAAATAAACTGACCAATCAAACTAAGATACGTGTCCCAAGGTTTCCTATAAAAATAGGTTACTAGTTTTTTGTTTTTTTTTTTGCAAATGCATGTGAAAGGTGATGTTATTTTGGAATAATAAAAAGGTCGTTCTTTATTAATAAAATATAAATTTAAGATCTACCCATTTTTTATTACCTACAACTGCTCTTTTCTCTCTCTTCTCCCCTCTCCCCTCAAAATACAGCCCCCGTAAACCTAGATGCCCACCGAAGATCCGGCGCCGCAGTCGTTTCTCCGGCAAGTTTTCCCCCCCTTTTCACTTCTTTTTTCTCTCTGAGAGTCGTCGTTTGATCCTCCGCGCAAAGAGAAAGTAAATCCAACCTTGGAAGGGCTTCAATTTTTAAATATTATTCAAACAACGAGAAGTACAATTGTGTTAGTGTTACCGTAGAAACAAGAAGTCAAGGCTAGCCTTAACGCCACCGTTAAAAAGGTATCGGTAAAGATTACCCCGACGGTAAAGTGAAGTTAAGGTTAAGGTTTTCTCTTTCCTGTACCAAAGTTCGGTCGAGGTAAGGTGAGTTTTTGCGTTTGGATACAAAGATAGGTTCGTTGTCCTAATTGTGTTTCAGGGTGAGGTATTTTGGTTCTACTTTTCTTAGCTGCTTTAAGGTACTCACAGGTTGCTCTGGTTTTGGTTAACTGGTTGGTTAGGATGTTGTTTATGGAGTACTTTAGTTGTCTGTTATTGTTATTTTCTCAAACTTTGTTGTGGGAGGTTTGGGTATGCTTCTTCCTTATGGTTGGTGGTTTCCCTTTTGAGTTTGTTCATTGTGAGTTTAGTTTTAAGTGGTTTTCTTTTTATGAGTTTGCTTTTGGATATATTGTCTGGATATTTCCAATTTGGAGATTTGAAAAAAATGTTTGGGTGGATGTTAGTGGTCTTACCTTGTGTTTTAATACTCTTTTTAAGGGGAGTATTATATGTGTTAGGATGATGAAAGGAGTTATGCATAGTTGCTCTTGTCCATACTGATTATATAAATTGGTGGTATTCAAGATTGTCTTATGTTATATCTTGGTTTAGGCTAGCATTGAGACTTGTTTTCTTTGCTTTAAAAAAATCAAATCTGAACGCTGCTCCCCAAATGGAAATTTTGGGGGTTAATAACATGCTAACCAAGTCACTTTTAGTGACACAAGTTGCTTGTGAGCAATCTGATTTGCCCACAAGTTCTTTCGAGCCAGGCCCTGAGATTACCACTCTTCCGCTTCAATTTTTTTTGTTAAAGTTTCTCATGGTGTCAAGGGATACCCCCGTTGTGATTTTGGCCCCAGCTTCAACTCCATTTGCAATTCGAAACCTACTGCTAACTGTGATTGCACGCTATCTCTACATTGCATACAAGGTTACTTCAACAATCGGGGGCCAGGAATCGAATCAGGCTCAGGGTTTTGTTCTAGAGAGAGAAACTCTAGCTTCTCTCTAGCCCTTTGAAGAAGGGTCCTAGTGGTTGCCTTCATCGGATTCGTTCTTCAAAGGGTTAGATTGAGAAGCTTGTTTCTTGGTCTTCAATTTCAAAATACAAACCCTAAGGGCCTTTGGAACTCAGATCTGTTCTTCACCCTTCGCTCAAGGTTGAAGAAGAGCTCGTTGTTCTGGGGGGTGTGTTGGGCGAGGTCGCTGCTGGTGAAGGATAATTAGGTCGTTGGACTAACTACCCTCAACCAAACAATAATTATAAACCTACACCTACACTAAACAAGTTTAGTGGTAAGTAGAGGGTCGAACCACGGAGACAACATAAACACTATCAACACCACCACCAATTAAGCTAGGTCAAAGAGATAGGATGGATAGAACAATAAACAAAAATGAGATTAATATTAAGTTAAACTAACACCAAGGGAGAGGGTCAAACATTAAAATAATCTTCAATAAAGTTAGGAAATGGAAATGAGTTTACATGCAAACCAAATATCTCATATAAGGCAATACCAACAATACCATCTAACCACCTATCGGGGTCAAAGGCTTTCCCAACTTAACACATGCTCATACTATTTTCATAAGCTGTGAAAGTTAAGGTTTTTGCATAGAATCGATCACCTAATGGATATCCCTAAGTTACACTATCGTCATAACTTAGTTCAATCCACCCAATTACAACACATGATTGGCCATTCACATGGAGTAATTAGTAAAACATGGTTACAAGTTATATTTAATCACATATAACCAACATTTGTCTAGCCTAATACATTCAAGATTCACCACATGCTATCACCAATCCCTTAGTAAAGGGAATTACTCACTAATCATGAACAACTAACACAAAACCCAACTAGAAGAACAAAGAGAAGCAATTAAACTAAACAACTACTCTAATCAAGCAAGAAATTAAGAAAGAACAATAAATGAGATAGAGTTTAGAATGCTCATTGAAGTATTGAAAAGGAATCCAAAACAATGTCACTTTGCATCTTCATCTTCTTCAATCCACCATTGAAGCTCTTCACTTTCTCTCTCTAAAATACCCTAAATTACTCTTAATCTACATTACAAAGTATAAAAACAAAGATTAAAACTAAATCTAAGCCTAATTTATGTGAAGATTGATGGAGAGATGTTAGGGTTTAACCACTCAAAGAGGAGAGAGAAAACCCCAAAGAAACCCACCATCAAAACTTCCCAAAAAATAGGAGAGAATCGGGCTAAAAATAGAACCGCAGTAGAATGGCGCGCCCGCGCCAATCTGGGTTTCGGCCTGGCAGCGATATTCAAATTCAAATATCCATAACTTCTGTTCTAGGAAGCTTCTTGTGGCGTGCAACCTATCGTTGGAAAGCTCTTTAAGTCTAGTTTCCAACACAATTTGAATCACCTAAATCCGATGTGTAGATAAAACGTTATGGCTAAAAGAGTGAACAAAGGTCAGTTTTGGAGTTCATGCCCTTGCGCTCCCGCGCCTATCTTATGCGCTCCCGCGCCTTTCTTAGGCGCGCCCGCGCCTAAGCCGCGCCCAAATCGCGCCTAAATTCTGCCTCCTTCAATATTTTCGACCCCAATGTTAGGCACGCCCGCGCAAGGTTTGGCGCGCCCGCGCCATTCTGAAAGCGCGACCCGCGCTGTCCGCATGGCCTTGCTTGCTTGCTCCTTAACTTCCTTTGTAGATCTTCAAATGAACTCCAATTCTCCAAGCTCTTCATTCTATTAAAATCAACTCCAAAAGCCTACAAAACATGAGGAAAAGCACAAAAACATAATAAAGAGATAAACGGAGCAAAAGGGGTACAAACAAGGGACAAACGTAGAAAAATACCTCGATTAGAGGATCTAAATAGTGGCATAAATGCCACTTATCAAATTCCCCCACACTTGCCTCTTGCTTGTCCTCAAGCAAGAACAAAAGCAGAAACAAAAAGAA